ACTATTATTATTATTATATCAATGACCTCCCATCTTCTATCCTACCACCCGTATGCCGACGATGTCCAGATTTACTTCTCCTGCAATCCAACTGATTCCTCTGGTGCCATCCAAAAACTACAGGAAGGTATAAACAGAATATGAAATGAAATGAAAAAATAATTTTATTTAGTGTCCCCTAAGAATAATAACAGAGTTACAAATTTATGTATCTTAGTCTGACATAATAAAAATACCAACTAATTTATTGTTAATTGTTATTTCAATTGTGTAATGGATTGAAATTAAACATTGTACAGATTCAAGTAATTTTACATGTTAGGGGAAGTTTGAATGTGGAGTAGGTGTTGGAACAGGAGTTGTTTGAAGGAATTTGTGGATGAGGATTGACGCATGGGGGTAGGAAGTGAGTTCCATAAGGAAGCAGCACGAATGACGAAGGATTTGCTGAAGGAGGAAGTTTTATGGGAGGGAATATATAAGTATATAGGTTGAGACCTAGTATTGAGAGAGTGGATAGAGGAGCGCAGAGTAAGGAGTTCCAGGATGTAGGGAGGGTTTTTAGTTCTGAAGACTTGGTAAAGGAAAACGCCAAGAAGGAATTGTCATCGGGAAGTAGGATAAAACCACTTCAACTCGGTGTACCATAGTGAAACATGTGAACGTCTGGGGATCCCGAAAATGTATCTTATGAAACAATTCATGTGTTATTGGACTGAATATGTGCTTGAACAAACCTCAATAGGCTCACTCTAAACACCAAGAAGATGAAAGCCATCTTAATCGGATCTCCCTCACTTCTCAAATCCTTTCGGGTACCCCCAAAACCCTGAAACAGTTTAACTGTCTTCACTATCTCCTTCCATTAAACGCCATTGATGTTAAAATGATTTTGGGTGGACCTCATATTTTTTTGTGTGTGGTAAACATGTAGATTTTCAAATCAAATAAAGAGCATTTGCAGTATTACACCGAGTTGAAGTGGCTTTATCCGTTCTACCGCCATAAGTACTTCCTTGCTACCTTCCTATACTAGGCTATTAGAATTCAATGCCCCTCCAATATTCTACAGAGTCTAAAATTTAAATACTCCATTTAATCCTGTCCCATTTGTCTGACTTCTATCCTCCTCCTCCTCACCACACTGCTACCTTTGAAAAATCCTTTGTGATTTAAGCCATCTCCCTCTGAAATTCTATACCTCCCAATATTCAACACTCAAAGTCAGTTTCCTCTTTCAAATCTCTCCTCTTAATATTTAATATTCATCCCCACATACTGTTATGCAGTATGAGGTTGCTGACCAGATATCTCACTCTCTGACCAATTCTCTTCTCCTGTTCCAATCTATATCCCTCCTCCTAAATGATTCTCACACACTATCCTCCCAGAAGATGCAGGGTCTTCCTCTAGGTCTCCTTCCCTCTACAGAGGTCTCTTAGGTCTTCCAGATGGTGCTTTCTTGAACCATCCTAAGAAGATGTCTGAACCACCATAATTTGTGCTCTTCCAGGATTGTGTTCCTTATGATCTCTGCCGATTTAACTTTGAGGCTGATCCTTATGGTAGTATTCTGGATTCTATCTCATCGTACCTTTTCTTCAACTATAAAGATATAGCACATCTTCATGGATTGCAGTCAACCTTTTTTTTTAAAGGTGAGGGTTCATGATTCAAAAGAGTATAAAAGGGTAGGGAGAAATGTTGATTTATAGACGGCCATTTTCATCTTCTTAGTGACCTCTCTTTATCCAGAAAACTGAGTTTGATCTTGGCGATGGCTTCCTGTAGCTCTTCTTCACTAATATAATAATAATAATACTTTATTTATTCTGGGACATGTCCCTTTAGAATAATACATAAGGACAGTAATGTGGGCTAAGGAGCCTCAGAGATGCATAAGAAGAAATGTTGAGTAATAAAATAGTCATGTATATTCATCTTCTACCCAATTATCCTCTACATTCCTCTGGGTTTCACAGATTTCTACATCTCTTCCCTCCAGAAAATCTTTAAAGAACTCCTTCCATCTTTTCATGACCAGGTCGTCACACCAGATGATAGCCTCATTCTTATTCTTGGTGCCTTTCAGGGGTGTTGGTCGATCCCTCCTCATTCCTTTGAGAACTTTATAGAAGACTTCCTGGTTTTCTTCCAGCTTATGACCAAAATCTTCCCAAGATTTTCTTTTTGCCTCTAGTATTTTTAATTTGGATTCTTTCTTCCGATCCTTGTACACTTAATGAGCAGTGGAAGTCCTCAGGCTCAGTTGGTTCTTCCAAGCTACCTTTTTTTCACATCCTCTGTCCACCAGGCAGTTATTTTGGAACCAAATCCAACACTCTTTTCATCACACATCGATTTTGAGGCATCAAGAAGGATCTTCCTAAAGGCTGTCCAGCTCATTTCAATGTCGTCATCATTCCACAGTCGGCTTTGGATTTAGGCCAATCTTTCTATTTCTTCCACATTATTCCATGATTTGTTCATCAGTATGATTATATCTTACATGATTATATATATATATATATATATATATATATATATATATATATGTGTGTGTGTGTGTGTGTGTGTGTGTGTGTGTGTGTATAATTAGCTAAACAATATATCAATATAAATCATCAGCAAAAGATGATGGCTACTTCCAATCTCAAATCCTCTTTTATCCTCTTCCCAGCTCTTCTCTGCTATATGATCTTCTCTGGTTTATGACATTCTTTATGCAGGAAGAGTCTTTATTAGCAGGTCATTTGTCACACAGAAATTCAAGATTTTTTCCCTGTTGTTGTTCAAAAACTTTCCACCATAACTTTTTAAGATTCTGGGCCAACTCTCATAGCTACAACCAACTCGGCCATTTAGATCCCCTAAAACTATGGGTGAGCCTTCACAATCATCTACTTTTCTTTGAAGGTCACTAAAAAAGCCTTCTTTTTCTTCAGACAGCACATTCATTTCGCCCATAAGCTATTACCACTAAATGTAACTTCTGTGCTTCCAGAATATCTAGGACCATGAGATGGAAACTTAAAAATTTCCATGCCTCTATTACGGAAACCTTCTCGCTATGATACAAGAATCCATCGGCTGCTCTCTCATTGTTGCTGACACCAGAATATAAGAAAATGTAGTCTTGTATTTCTACTTCTCCCTTTCCCTTCTTCATTTCTGCAATTTCGAGCAGGTCTACTTCAGCATTATTCATCTCTTTCACAAGCTTGCACTCCCTCTTATTCAGGATGTGGATATTTCATGTTGCAAGTAGAAAAAAACGTTTTTCTATGTTGGGTCAAGTTCCGTAAAACAATCCAGCTTTTTTCATTCCATTTTTTGTAATAAGTTAGGTTAAAGAGGAGCTAGTTATCAGTCAACTATCCTCCGAGGCAGATGGAGGGGCTGCCTTCTCAGAGTTTCGCTACTCCATTCGGGATGGTTACTTAGGAAAGGTGACCTTAAGGTGAGTACTGTTTGATCTTTGTCTGTAGAGTGGGGGTGAGTGTAGTATGCTATAATTAATATATCTGTATGTGTGTCAGTGTACTGTCCTCTCAACCTGGAGGGCCAGAGGCTATCTGCAATGCTATGACCGTGCGATTGGGGCGCTACCACCCTACATCAGGGAAGCTATATCTTAAGGCATTAAATATAATTTTTTTAAGCCTCTCAGTGTTGAATAAAATTAAATTATTTTTTCAGAACTGGATAAGTTAAATATTAGAATTGAAGGGGTGTATTAGTTTCAATTCTAAATGGTGATTAATGTTTATAGGGAACAGGGGCTATAAAATGGTCATGATTTAAATGGTGTTGATTGGCTGAGGTGTAATATAATCCATATCCAAATGTATCTTATCTTATCTGAAAATCTTATCTGTTGTGGAAAATCTGCATATTTTCTTTCTTCTTATCTTACTCTGCCCCCAGGAATGGTCTAGAGCTCTAGCATATCTCCTCTTCTTTTTATCTCTTCATAAATCCATGATTCTCCCCCACCTTAACAACGGCTGTTTGGTGTACAGTGGCCTCTCAGTGGAACCTGGAGACAGACTAAGAAGAGCTAGGAATAGCCTAGTAAGATCCGTTCATAGAATATTGTGACATACCCATGTTTCTCACTATTATATTTAGTTAGGATGTCTCTTCCACTCTTTCAGACAACAATACTTCCTAAGCACTTCTCTTCAGCAAATAATCAACAACCATCACCTATCCTATAATTTTCTTTAATTCAATTTCTCTAACCACTTCCTAACCAAAACATCTCTTCCTGACCTTTATATCGCTTTTCAAAGATCTTTCTCACTTCGAAGCTTCTTTATCGTCTACTCCATCACTTTTTTTTAATTCTATCCCTCTTAAAATCCAACATACCCCGTCCTTGTCCACATTTTAAACACTCCTATTCCAATCCCTCTATATTAATCAATCAGGTTTTGGCTAATTATAAATTATGTGACAAGAATTTCATGTCTGCTCTACTGCTTTCTGGAATTCCTTAACATCTAAAATATGCCATTCCACTTCCCTATCATCATTCAAAGCCCTTCTTTTTTATTTCTTTTTCACATCCCAAACAGATGCTCTCCAATCTTAAAATTTTAATTTAAGAATAATTTTAATTACATTTAATAAACCTGAAGATCAAATTATTTATTTATTACTATTTTATTTTGTCTGTTCATTTCATTTATATTTATTCTAGAGTTGATTTTATTTGGTTGCTTATATGTGTTAACTCTTTATAATGCGTATACTGACTGAACTTTGGTTATGTTGTTTTAAGCCAGTATTGTATTCAATTTATTTTTACACATGTTTTTATTCTTAAGGAACTTAGTCCCAGAATATAGTTTATTTTCTAGTATTATAAGGCATTTATACTCTTATACTATATATTTTATACTAGTATAAATATATCTAAAAAAAAACGACTAAAAGTTACAAAATTAAAACCATTAGTTAATAAATTTTATTGAATACATAGAATTGAAGATTACCTTCAGATAAAGAACTTGTTGAATCTTATCTCCAGTTATCCATGAAGGTAATGCATTATCCAAATTTGAGCCTTCTTCAATTGAAGAACTCATAAGTTTTCCAATGAACACATTCCATTCCTAAACAATAATCAATAATTGAAACATATTGTTTTTTAACATAATATCTCTATTTAAGGGCCATTAATAGATATTTCATAGATACAAACTTTGTGATTTAAAGGCAAACTACATGAATCATTATTATAATTTTCAATATTCATTTAATCATTAATTAAACTATCTTCAACCTTAATCACATTCAGAAAAAATCAGTAATGAATAAAATAATGGATCAAACACATAACATAACAAATACAACTTAAAGTCAAAAAAGAAGTTATAGACTACCAAGTTAAGGGAGACCCTTGTGGGTGGAACTCAGGAGAGCTGGTTATACTTCAGGCCAACCCTCTTTAAATATTGACAGTTATCTTTTCAGCCACTGTCTTGAATCTTTCTTTCAACATTTTAATTTGTTTTACATTATTTCAATTACATGTTCTAATTTGTAACTTGATTGTTACTTAAATTAATTTGAAAAATGACTAGAATATTATATATTTTTTATCTAATAACAGTGGCAGTTTAATAATAACAACATATTTTATTTCTCCTCTACGATTTCATCCCCTTCAGGTCAAAACTAAAAATAAATAAAAATAGTGTTATAGTTATTTTTATAATTATTCTGAAGTTTTAGGAATGCTCTATCTTCCTCTTCAGCATATAATATGCCCCACTTCATTCATTGAACAAACTTAGTGTAGTATATTAACCGTTTGTTAAGGGGTTGAATACTAAATCGATGTTATATCGATTTAGTATTCAATCTCTTTGGAGCCAGTCATATGTTTTTGTGAGGGTTAAGAGCTCTAATGAATGTGATGTAATGTATTTAGGAACAATAAAGAGAAAATTGTTTGTGTTTAATTTACAGAATTCATTGATACACTACATTGGCGACGAGGATTAATCCTGAAAGTAAGTAAACACTATTTATTCACTATTATGTCACCTCCTGATAAATCATCAGTAAAGCCTACAGAGAGGGTTATGTTGCCGATCATAGGGGTGCTCAGAGAATTTTCCATGAATATGGACTGGACTCTATACAAGCCACGGATGGAAAGCTTTTTCCATGCAAATAGTATCTAAAACGAAACACAAATACGCGATTTATTTCTTAATTCATTGGATGAGTATTTTGTACCGTCTTAATCACTCTTTGGAGCCTGTTACAGATTCTACAATGCAGCTATGGAAGATACTGAATCAATAAATGAATGGGTAGCCCGCATTCAGGACCTGGCTTCCCATTGTGCTTTTAACAATTATCTTGACTTTATTATGTTAGATAAATTTGTTATAGGTATGAATAAAGGACCGATAAGGGATCGGCTGTTCGAAGAAAATCCTGCAAATATTTCACTGCGTAGGGCTATAGAAATAGCTACTGCAAAAGAAGCTACATTTAGGCAGTATAATTTAGATATAGTGGTTAAAAAGGAGCCTGTGCATTTTGTTAGTAGAGAAAAAGATAGTCCATCAGTCTCTAGGGGGCAAACTAATAAAAGATATGCAAACAAATGTAGCGTTTGTGGTAAAGTGGGTCATGACCCTGGCAAATGTCATTTTAGGGAATATACCTGCAATAATTGTCAGAAAATAGGGCATCTAGCTCGTGTCTGTAAGTTGGATAGAAGGCAACCAAATAACCGAGGATTGAAGGAAAGATCACACTATATAGAGGAGGATGTATCTTCTGAACTCGAATGCCTATATAAAATTGACAGTTCTCCTAAGGAATTGGGATATCAGGTGAACCTAAAAATCAACAAGGTTGATATAGTATTTCAGGTGGATACTGGTTGTTCAAGTACTATTTCGCCTCTTAAACTTTTTAAGAAGAAACTGCCTGGCTTAAAATTGGGAGCTGCAAAGAAGACTTTTGTCTCATATTTTCAGGAAAGGTGGGCACCTCTGGGCAGCTTAAACGTGGATGTGGACTATAATGGCAGCATATACTCAAGTCTGGAATTGTATGTGGTGGAATTGGATGGTCCGCCCCTTCTTGGACGAACATGGTTTGAGGAACTTGGATTTAAAATTATGAATAGCCATGAGGCCAAACCTTTATTTTTTAGTAATGAGGAATCAACTTTGTGGGAGGAAGCTATACATTGCTATCCAGAGGTGTTTTTCTGATCGGCTTGGAACTTTTACAGGTGGTACGATAACATTAGAATTAAAATCGGGTGTCAAACCTAAGTTCATAAAAGCAAGGCCTGTGCCTTTTGCCATTAAGGCTAAAGTAGATGCGGAATTGGAAAGATTAGTGCAGGAAGGTATTCTGATACCTATTAACTACAGTTCATGGGGTTCACCGATTGTTCCAGTACTGAAGAAAGGAGGAACAGTGAGGATCTGTGGTGATTATAAACTGACTCTAAACCCATGCCTTGAAATCGATCAGCATCCACTCCCACGAGTAGAGGATTTATTCGATAAAGTTCAAGGGTGTAAGGTTTTTGCAAAAATAGATTTGTCACATGCTTATCAACAAGTGTTTGTAGATGAAGCGAGTAGGTCACTACTCACTATTACAACACAAAAAGGGCTATTTACTTATACACGCCTTCCCTTTGGAGTGGCACCTGCTCCAAGCAAATTTCAAAAAATTATGGATGCATTATTCGATGGACTTGATGGAACTGCTGTATTGCTGGATGATATATTAATTGGTGCAGAAAACTTAGATGAATTAAAAATACGCATGTTTCGAGTGTTAGACAGGCTCAATGCTGCTGGTCTTACCGTTTCATCTAAAAAATGTGAATTTGGAAAAAAATTGTTGGAGTATTTGGGGGTTAGGATTGATGCATCCGGCCTGCATTCCACCGATGACAAGGTGGATGCCATTCTGCGGGCTGCAAGATCCCAAAACGTTAAGGAATTACAAAGCTTCATCGGCTTTGTGATGTTCCTGGAAAAATTTATACCGAGATTATCGTCAATACTAAGTCCTTTGTACAGTTTGCTGAAGAAAGGAATTCCTAGGACCTGGACTTCTACATGTGATGAGGTGTTTCATAGGATAAAAACAGTAGTTCAGGAAAATCGTTCATTAGCTCATTATGACCCGTCAATTCCTATTAGACTTGCTGTGGATGGTTTGGACTCTGGTCTGGGTGCAGTGATTTTTCAACGATCTGAAGTAGTGGACAAGCCACTAGCTTTTGCGAGTAGATCCCTATCTACTGCAGAAAGGGCTTATTCTCAATTACATAAAGAAGCAGCAGCTATGATTTTTGGAATGAAAAAATTCCACATCTATTTATATAGAAGGGAATTTATTTTGGTAAATCATAATAAACCTCTACTAGCAATATTTAGACCCAAACAAGGAATACCAATGTGTGCAGCAAACAGATTGCAAAGGTGGGCATTGATAATGGCCAACTATACTTATAAGACTGAATGGGTAAGATCCCAGGGAAATGTTGCTGATTGGTTGTCACGGGCCCCTGTACCTGATTGTCTGAGGGGATCCGGAGGAGCTGATTTATGTATTAATTATATATTTGATAGCAATGAAGATTTGCCTTTAAATTTTAAAAAGATATTGGCAGTAAAGATCCGATTGTGATGAAAGTTATATTGTACATAAAAATGGGCTGGCCAACAGAAATGGACCCGTACATAGAGCTCCAACCTTTTTCATCACGTAGGGAAGAATTATTTGTGGAGAAGGATATTCTGTTGTGGGGTTACAGAGTGGCAGTTCCTGAACTTTTAAGGCAACAAGTTTTGGAGGAGTTGCATGCTTCACATTTGGGAATCGTGAAATTAAAATCATCAGCCCGTTCATACGTATGCTGGCCAAAATTGGACAAGGCTATTGAAAAAATAGTACAAGTATGTCGAGCCTGTAATATAACAAAAGATAGCCCGGTGAAGATGCCATTAGTACCTTGGCAATGGCCATCCAAGCTCTGGGAGAGGTTACACATTGATTATTTAGGTCCGTTTATTGGGAAATATTTTTTAATTGTAATCGATAGCCATTCAAAATGGCTTGAAGTTTTTCCAACTTTTTCAAAGTCAACCTCTACCACAGTTAAAATTTTGCGTCAACTATTTGCTAGATTTGGTTTGCCGAAAGAATTGGTTTGTGACGATTTCCCGGCATTTGATTCTGAAATATTTAAAAAAAAATTGTCTCACAATGGAGTAACATTGAAGCATGGACCACCCTATTCACCCAAAACGAATGGAGCAGCTGAAAATGCGGTGCGGACCGTTAAGAAAACATTGAAGATTGCGCTATGCTCTGAAAAGTGTGCTGATTTAAGCATTTTACTAAGTTACTAAATTTACCCATTTGTTATTGACCTAATCCCAGACCAATTTTCCAAATTTCACCGGAAACTCAATCATCATCCGAATCCTGTAGCACAATCCCTATCTAGCTCCAGCCATCCCTATAATCCTCCCCGGAGGTTAAAACGGCAGTGGCCCCGCGACCTTTTGTAAATATGTATATATTGGACTACTAGCAATGGCCAGATTCTCCACTCATGTCCAGAGCGTCTGTTGCTCTAGTGCCCTCCATCAGTCTCCACTGGCTTGCAATACCAGTGACGCAGCTTGGAGAGAAACACTGGGATCTCCTGGGGGTCCTGCCTTGGCTTCCACATTTGGGGGACTCGGAATCCCCCGGGCGTATAGGTGTGAATGTGTTTTATATATTTCAATTTCATTTAGTTTCTCTCTCTCTCTCTTTTTTTTTTTTTTTTCTTTTTACCTATGTATGTTAATTTTCTTATTTTACTTTCTACAATTCTTTTTCTTTTATCTCTATTTTAGTTATCATTTGTGTCTATATATTTTGTGAATGTTTAATGTAGCCCTAATATTAATGCCCTCCAATGCGGCAGAATGTATTAATTTTCAAATTAAAAAAAAAATTATATCTATTATTCAACTTTGTAAATACATGTATATATATCTGAGGCTCAAAATCCCTCATTTCTGTCCTTGTTAATTATTCTAAAAGGATTCGTCCCAGAATAAATAAAAAAACTATTATTATTATTATTTCAATTCTTTATTCTCGCTTTGCGGGATAAGTTTCTGAGGTGGGAGACCAGAAGTCCAGCCACTTCAGATTAATATCTATTACTTTTTAGATATTTAAAAACTTTCGAACAATACGTGCTGTATCCAAGAGAACTGAGTGTTGAGCCTCTTTCAGCACTTCAAGAGGTAATTTTAATCCCATCGTGCCTGCCACTGTTGTCTTTGGTATCAATCCATTGGAGGATATTATAATTGGCGTGGTGGTGACGTTCCCCAAATGATACAATTCCTTCAGTTCGATTGCCAGTTCCTGGTATTTTCTCAGTTTTTCTCCAACAGTGGAGCTTATATTATTATCATTGGGGATCTCGACATCAATAAGCTCTGCTCTTTTCTCTCTCATGTCTATCAGAAGGATGTCTGGTTTATTGTGACGCACAGTATGGTCAGTTATAATCGATTCATCCCAGTAGAGCTTGAGACTACCTTTTTGGAGGAGTTTATTTGGGTGGTACTTATAATATGGAGTTTTGTCATCTAACAAGTTGAACTTCACCGCCAGAGCCTGATGAAAAATTCTTGCCACATTGTTATGCCTCTGGAGATACTCGGTGCCAGCCAACACTCCACACCCACCTGTGACATGTTGGATTGATTCCAGCGTCGCTGAGCATAATCGACATTTATCCGTAGTTGTTGCGTCTTTAAGAACATGCCTTCTATATGATCTAGTAGCAATAACTTGGTCTTGGATGGCGAGCAGAAATCCTTCTGTCTCGGAGAATATCTTTCCAGCTTTCAGCCATTCAATGGATATTTCCTTGTCAATCGAGCTATCATTTAATTTGCTGTAGAATCTTCCATGCAGAGATTTATTTTTCCATTCTGTCAAGCGTTCATTTTCTGACACGATTGTAGAGACCACACGATTGCTCAGGTTAAGTGCGGTTAGACCATAATCCAATCTTGAAATTGCGAAGTAAATCTCAGTTGTTTTTGTAAGAAAGTATCGACGTAGGGCCGCTTCCTGCTTGCGGCAAGCTTCTTCGATATTTAGCAAACCATGTCCTCCTTCTGTCCTAGGCAAATACAGACGAGCTTTGGATGATATTGGATGGTGGGCCCGTTCTTGTGTGAGAGTCGTTCGCACAAGGCGGTCGATCTCCTGTAGGCTGGTGTTTGACCAGTGCAATACGCCGAAACTATAACCGAGAGCAGGTATTGCCCAGGTGTTAATAGCCTTGATTTTTTGTTTCCCGGTTAGCTGGGTTTTGAGCACTTTCTGCAATCTAATTTTGAACATTGTCAGAAGGTCTTGTTGTATGTCTTTTCTTGCAATTTTAAGATGTTGCTGCATTCCCAGATATTTATATAACCTATTGTCTTCAAGCTCCCTGATGTACTCTTTTTCATTGATTAGAATATTCTGCATACTAACCACTTTTCCTTTGGTTACATGGAGCACCGCACATTTATCCAGACCGAGTGACATGCCTATATCATTACTAAAAGATGAAACGGCTTCAACCATACTTTGTAATTGGTCTTTGTTTTTCTCATATAGTTTAAGGTCATCCATGTACCAGCTGTGGCTGACTGTGGTGGCTTCGTCGTTGATTAATTTGTATCCCATCTTGTTCTTTCGAAGAATCCTGCTTAGTGGGAACAAAGCCATACAGAACCATAAGGGGCTTAGACAATCTCCTAGGTATATTCCTCTCAATATTTTAATTTGATTCCCTGTGCAGATAGTTCCAACTTTCATCGTAGTTTTCCATCCTGTCATTAAGTTTGAAAGGAGCCTGCTTACTTTAGATTCAACCTTGTATATATCTAGTACTTTAAGTAGCCAGCTGTGGGGAACCGAGTCAAAGGCCTTTTTATTATCGATCCATGCCATAGAGAGGTTTTGCTGTTTTTTAACAACTTGTGCTGCAATGAACGAATCTATTACTAGGAGTTCTTTACAACCCCTAGCACCTTTTTTGCACCCTACTGTTCTATGGGTATCATATTCTCACTTTCGAGGTGCTCATATATCTTAGTTGCCAAGATGGAAGTTAGAATTTTATACAGACCATTTAAACACGTTATCGGCCGGAAATCTTCAGGACGCATGTTTAAGTCATTCTTTTTCGGAAGCATATATGTGATGCCATCAGAGAAACCATCAGGGGGGCTCTGTTTGTCTTCAAGTATTTCCTGGTAACCTTTGGCCAGCAATTCATGGAAGCAATGAAATCTTTTAATCCAGTAATTTTGGATACCGTCAGGTCCTGGTGCCCTCCAATTTTTCATGTTCCTGACCGCTTCCGAAACATCTTCCACAGTTATGGTCACTTCCATCATTCCATTGACATTCTGAAGACTTTGCAGTTCTTCTTGTATCCAAGAGCTCTCGAGGTGATTCCCCGATTTTTCCCATAAATTTTTCCAATGGGTTTCAATGTCATCAGGGTATTTGATCGATATTTTTTCTTTTTTTACTAGGTTTCTATAAAACTGACGTGCATTCTGCTTGAACAGCTGATTTTGTTTCCTGTGTAAAGCTGCCTCACTATATCTGCGCAATCTGCTGGTGTAAACTGCCAGCTTTTGTTTCAGAATATCTAGATATCGAGTCAGTCTATCAATTAACTCACTTTCCATTACGGTTCCCAAATTCTGTACTATAATCTCATCTATCTTCCTTTTTGTCTTAGGTCTTGCAGCTTGAGGGTTACGAATATAGTTTAAGATGACGCCAATTTTTCCACGTAAGGTATCAATTTTCCTTTGAAGTCTTCTCTTCCACTGTGGTATTCCACTATATCCAGTTGGAAGTTTATTTTTACTTTTATCTTTCATTTTTATGCCCAGTTCTAATGTAACTATCTTGGCAGCAATATATAGCCAATGAAGGATATCTTGAAGGCCATTAATTAGGGCTATATTATCCTTAAGAACATTATTCATTATATTGGTTATTTTAATTGTGGCCTTATTATACGGTACTCGTGGCAACGATGGTCGCTCCTGAAGCGGTATTCCCTCAAGTAGAATATGCTCGGTCAAAAGTGATTGACTCAATCTATTTTCTATATCCGCGTCATCCAATTGTTCCGCTGAATCTTTATTACTGACTGAGGCATTGATTACACCAGCGTCTGAATCTATTCTTGTATTTAGCGCTCCATCAGAGAGCTCGACATCATTTTCAATGGCTATTAACATACGAACTTCGTCTTTTAGTTGTTTGAGGTCATTTGAAATAAGAAAATTTCTCGTAAGTATTACTCTTACCTGATCACTCAGTCTCTGCGTACTTATATTAATATCTGGGAAGGACTCACGCCAGTATCTCTGTATACGGTTCAGATATCCTGTTTTCTCTGTTTCAAGTTTTGTTGCCAAGTAGTATGCTCGGATGACAGCCATATTCATATTTGGCGTCCATTTCATCCTCTTTGCACCTCTTGGTCTCTGTTGCCGAACTCGCATGGGTGGAGAATGTCTCTCCTCCAAGCTCGAACTCGAACTGTTGGCCGGTAAACGTTGCAGCCTTGCGGTCCGTGACGACAGAGTAGTGCCGCTCGCTCCACTAGTCCCTGAAGGAAGCTGTCTACTGTTCCCGCCCGATGCAGCCTCAGTATCGGGCTCCTCCGAGGGTAATCTTCTATTTCGTAGCTCCATTTTTAATGGGTAGGTGCATTTTATACCATCCTGCCAGGTGATTTAAACAGCCCCCCCTGACATGGAGAACAGACGCTGACCAGGTTGCCGCCCAATATGGGAACCGTCGCATCTGGATTTTGCTAGTTTTGGTCCGCTCCGGGTATTTTATTTCCCCGGTACCCACCATATCTGGTGGGATTTCCCCTATCCGCCACCTGAGGAGGCTCCCGATGGGAGACTAGCAACTCCTCACGGGTTATTATTATTATTATTATTAATAACCATTATAAAAAAATGGGCACCTCTGTTATAGTGTGATGAAAAGAAGGTGGCCATGAAGTGAAGTAGGATTATGAGACAGTTTTGATGTTATTATATAGTTGGTATTAAAAACAAGAAATTGGAAGTATTGGAGAAAAGTATTTCTGTAATAAAATACAAAATTTATTTATTTCTTTTTTAAATACTGATTAATAATATTCTTACATTAAATTCAAATCTTTCTGGATGAATTACATGGGTTAGGTGAACAGCAAATGTTAAAATATCAGCTTTAAAAAGTGAACAACACACATGATGATATACCACCATCAATAAATTATGACATTTAAACTTCATATCATCAACAATCTGAAAAAAAAAATGCTGTTAAATATTAATATTATTTAAATTTACATTAAAAATATAAACATAGTTTGAAAAAGGCCAATAATATTAAAAATAAAACAATGGTATTTGTGGATAAAATCCAAGGCTGAAAATACAGTGGAATAGGAAAATTATTTAGTTAAGGTTTCTTCCAATTCTCCCTAATATGATACTGAGTTCCTCAGTAATCATTTTTCAGGTTGAAAAATTCAGTTTTTATTTTCACATACCTATATATGAAATACTAACCACCTCTTCATCAATTTAAGAGCAGCTTATGATAGCGAGAACAGAGAAAAATTCTATGAGGTACTAAAGAATTTTAAGATACCTAGCAAGCTCATAAGCCTCATGAGGCTTACAATGAACAACGTAAGCTGCATGGTTCAGATCAGTGGAGAAATCGGAGGAATTTCCCTCAATAAAGGGATTATGCCAGTGAGATGCCTTAGCCTGCCTTCTCTTTGATTTTGCGCTCGAAAAAGCAGTGAGAGATGCTGGGATACAGACCAATGGCAACATATTTAATAGATCTGTACAGCTCCTTGTGTATGCGGATGATATAGATATCATAGGATGTTCCTTCCAGGCTGTATCGGATGCTCTCCTTGCTCTGGTGGGTCCTGCTGGAGGTGACTTCCGGGGAGTATCAATTCGAGAAGACTGATGTTTTTGTATATCTAGGCTCATTGGAAACTCAAGACAACGCACCTAAACAAGAGATTCGGCGTAGGATTATAGCAGAAAATCGGTGCTATTTTTCTATGGCAAGGCAGTTCCGGAGTAGAGCTCTTTCCAGAAAATTGAAGCTTTGTCTTTGTAAGATGATAGTGCGTCTAGTCTTGCTGTATGGTTGTGAGACTTGGACTACTTCCCGGGCTTGTGAACAGGAACTCCTAGCCTTTGAAAGAAGAATCCTCAGATGCAAATATGGTGGTGTTCTCAAATATGGAGAGTGGAAAAGGAGGAAAAACCAGGAGCTGTACACCATGTTTAAGGAGTCCGATATAGTTCAAGTGATGAAAATTGCAAGACTGAGATGGGCAAGACACGTCATTAGGATGGGTAGCGAAAATCCACCAAGACAATTACTGATGGAGCCACTCCATGGTACCAGGAGAAGAGGAAGACCAAAGCTGCGATGGGCTGATGGTGTTGCTGCTGATGCAACAAATATGCTGGGGCTTCGGAATTGGATCGAGACAATTGGCGGAAGCTGCTGGAGGAGGCCAGGATTCGACACCGGATTGTAGAGCCATGCTAATAATAATAATAATAATAATAATATATTCCTCTTCTTTCTTTACTTCTGGAATATCATTTAACGACGACAACTTTTATTTTTCAGATATTTCTCCCACAGACCTCATATTCGCCGTGATGAAATCTCATTGTAATTCTATTGGTCTAGATGGTATTCTTGTCAAATTAATCAAATTGTGCCTACCTGAAATCCTTCCCATTCTCCTTTTCTTCCTTTTAAATTTAAATTTCCTTTTATAATTTCTCCCTTCGGTACTCAGTATTTCCGTCCTCATAGAAAAAAGCCATTGTCTGTCCTTTACTTAAAAATCCTAATCCTTCTTCCCCTGAAGATTAACGACCAATCTCAATCCTTTCTAACCTTGCAAAACCTCTTTAACGAATAGTCCAATCTCAAGTTTCGAACTTCCTTGAACAGTCCAACCAACTTGATCCTTACCAATCTGGTTTTCGACCAAGTTACTCCACACAATCCGCCCTAATCAAAATCATTAGTGATGTTCAGTCCACCATAAATGACAAAAAACTAACTGTCCTTGTACTCCTTGACTTTTCCAAAGCCTTTGATACCATTAACCATTCCATCCTTCTCTCCAAATTAAAATCATTATCCTTTTCCAACAGCTCTATCCTTTGGTTTAAATCTTTCCTCTTTCAACGTACCGAAGCAGTCTCTATTCCTAACCAACCTTTATCTTCCTATCTAACTCTGTCCTCAGGAGTGGCACAGGGCTCTAGCATATCTCCTCTCCTTTTTAGTTTGTATATTAACGATCTTCATAAATCAATCCTTCACTGTTCCCATCACCTTTATGTCGATGATTCCCAAATTTATATCTCCTTCACTCCCTCTGAGTGGCATGATGCGTTTGCCAAAATACAAGAAGACCTAAATCGCATCTGTGCCTGGGCAAATGAAAATAGATTAAGGCTAAATGCTGCTAAAACCCAAGCCATTGTCATTGGTTCTAAACCACTTCTCAGATCCCATACCAACATTCCTCTCCTCTACCTAAATGATCAACCCATCACCTTCAACATCTCAGTTAAAAACTTAGGTATTTTCATAGATCGAACTCTCTCCTGGAATCACCATATTTCCCACATATCCCGATATTCAATTTCAACTCTGAAACTCTTCCATCGCTTCTGCCATCTCCTACCCATGTCCACACGTAGACACCTAGTATCCGCCCTCATCTTCCCCCACCTTGACTACGGCTGCGTAGTGTATGGTGGCCAACTTGGAGACAGACTCATGTTTCCCACTACAACACGGAGTTAGGGTGGCTCTTTCCTTCCTTCAGAAGACAATATTTCCTAGGTACATTTCTTTACCAAATAATCTATAATCACCATCTGTCCTATGCATTCAATCTCCTTCAATTCAAGTGATCTATCCTCTCCCTCTCCACAAGATCTCATCTTTCTGACCTTTATACCCCTTTCCACAAATCTGCCTCATTTCAAAACTCCTTTATTGTCCGCTCCACCACATTTTGGAATTCCATCCCACTTAAAATCCGCCATGCACCATCCCTATCCATATTTAAAACCCTCTTATTCCAATTCCTCCTTACAATTCAATCAGATGCAGGGTAGCCATTTATCATGTAACGAAATTACATTTTTCTCTATGTATCATTTGTATATAAATATATATTCTTTTTTGAGTATGGAAAAGATATCCAGTTACGTTCGCTAAGAATTGTTTTTTTGGTCTGTTTTTCAATATATAAGATTCTAAGTCTTTGAACAGTATTTAATTGATTACTAATATTGAATGCACTCCTTTATATGTGTATCACCTTTTATTTTCTCCGATCAATCTACAGCCTAGGATTTAGATTATATAACACTTTTATAATTTTTACAATACTATTATTGTATTAATTTGAACACATTAAGGTACAGATGTAAATCATTTATAGTAAATATTTATCTGTTCTTTTATTATTATTTTTTTCATTAATTCAATGGTATGACAACACAAGTAATTTATCGTTCATTTCAGATTTCATTTAGTATTCCATGGTTTACTGTTTGTAGCAACTATTTTGCAGTATTGTGACCATATTGAGCTACTGTAGGTCGACATTTTTTTTAAGACCTCCTCAACAGCCAAAACTAGGCAAACTTTTTGAGGGAGAGTTCTCTGCATTAATTAGAGGACATATTGCTCCAAGTTAGAAGAACCATGTGGCTACAAAAGGATGGGTATCGAACACATTATTCAGTGGGAGCCAGGAGAGAAGTTGCAGAAAATTTTCAGGAAAGGTGGAGGGGCAACAGTGGTCCAGTTCCTTGCCTCCCGTTTCTCCTGATCTCACTCCACTTGACTTTGACTTAAGAAAAAACTAAAAAATATGATGTTCCAAAACTCATTGAACAACTTAAACAAGTTGATAAGAAGGCTAGCTGAGAGCCAGGAAATACCGAGGCTAGAAATTGGTCTTGCTGTTCTTACTTTGAGGAAACAATTTATAATTTGCATTAGGACTAGACGAGACAATTTTGAAAATTATATGTAATATTATCATCATTATGATTTTCATGTACAAATCATGAAAGATATTAATTAAGAATTTAATAATCATTAGAAATACCACTGAAGATTTTGAATTTTCTCATACCAGATTATGAGGTCTTTCTTTTCTTCCCAGGATTCAATTTCTTTTCTGGTCAGATTAACAGATATGGCTCAGGGCCAATTGACATTGTTACAATACTTCCTTTTTAGTGCAAGGGATATCATATCGTTAATTTATAAAACATTGTTAACTCTCATAAGACAAAATAAAATAACAAAAGAGATTGAAATATTACTCAAGGAAACATACCTAACTTTATTCATGAAAACTTACTATTTATCCTAACTTCATGCAAAATTTATAGGAAATAAAACGTTTTTCTATTAAAAAAATAAACATAAAATGTTTATGAATTACAGATGAGAGGTGAATTACAGTTACATGAATTATAGATGAGAGGTGAATGAATGAACCCAACCATGAAGTAATAAAGACAATTCTAAACAAAAATTTACATATTAAAATAAATTTAATTTACTTTTGAGATAAGTTTGTTCTCTCAAAAATTTAACTCCATGCATAATAAATCTGTGCTCAGATGGTAAGATCTTATAAAACTTTCTCATTTAGTATTAACAATAATAAGTCAAAAACCACGCATTGCACAGTAGCTAAATATTATTTACAATTCGCCATCTTGAAGATACTTAAAACTGTCATATAAAATTCTACCACAGAAATTACCATATTTTAACTTTAAAATAAGGTTTTATTCTCTACTATTAACATAGATGACAATGCTTCTGTTACTGGCTTACCTGATTCTTATGTAATGATGTTTCAAAAAGTTTTTTAAATGATGTAACAGATATTTGATACATAACATTTATAGCACTAAGGTTCATACAAGCAAAAAAAAGAGTAGCTCCATATTCAGCTAAAGGCCTATAGTATTCTCGCTCTTTATCAAGATTTTGTTTGAGTAAACTTGATTCAGCTAATGTCTTTTTTATTTCATCACTGCTTACTTTTGTTACTTCCAAAGATTTCAATAATTGCTAGAAAAAAATATACAATAAGAAATAACTTATCTTTTTACATTTAACTACTTATTAATGCGTAGCCTTGATAAAGGCTTTAAAAAACCCAACTAAATATACAATTTTTTTTTAATCTCAAAAACTTATAAAGAAGAAAAAAATTAAAATGAAATTTCATGACTTTTTTCAACTTTTGTTAGATAGAGGAGAAAAGTACAACTGTGATTTACAAGTACAGATTTATGGCCAAAAAATGTTTGTTTTTATAGACTGTAGAGCCAAAATGGGTCTAACAAATTTTATGAAACTTACCTAAAGTCTTCTTTTGAAGCACTTAATTTATGTATATAACATATAAAAGAAAAGAAACTAAAAAAACAGTTACGTTGAATGCAGAATTATAGGGAAAGACTGGGTAACATGACGAATGATAAAAGATGACAAATTCAGTATTTCTCACTGTCATTCACAGATAGCAGTACGTTCTAGTCAGCATAAGATTTGTATAGTGGTGTACAATGTAACTCACTAGTATAAACAACTGTGTGTCTATATTCAGCAAAGTTGTGATAAAACGTTCAGATAGAGAAAACATTAAAGCAATTTTCAAATATTAAAAAGCAAGAAATCAATTGTCTAAGACAAAAATAATGGGAAATGAAGAAATTTTTAAATATTATGAATATTGAAAAGGAAGGAGATTGCAAAGTTTGTATAGCATTAGAAGACCCACATTACATGCTGTTTAGATGTAAAAAATGCAGCAAAGAAAGATAATTCAAATTAGTACCAGAAGAAACACAACAGAAAGGTATGGCATCATTATCAGTGGAAAGGCATTCCACTATTCCATCAATGGAGGAGTAGGAGTAGATGGGATCTAAGGATTTGGCTAGTGACTCGAGAAAAGGATTTAATTTTTCAGAGGACAAGTCTAGATCCTGCCATGTAATATGCTTAGGAATGAACTTAAGAGTCGGGACATTATAGGAAATCTTGATGAGGTCATGATATGAGAGGAAGGAGACAGGATTCTGAGATAAAGATAATAAATTTTGAGAGGAATTAATTAGAAAATGGACAAGCCATTCACTAGAGAATTGGGTATGATGAGTGGGTTGAAAGGAAACGATAAATAGGTCAAGGGAATGGATTAGGTCTACAAGATATTATTTGTCGGGAGAGTCAAGTTAGATAATATATTTTGATATATCGTTATTTCAACAATAATTGAACATGGAGAAATTTGATTATGTCTTTTGTGTATTGTATAGGTGATTTAAAGATGGCTTGGACATGAAAAAAAAATTTCCTTTATTATTTTTTACTTACAAGTAGAAAATAATAAAGGAAATTCTTAGTAATTCTAGTAAAATGATTAATTAATTCTCTAACTATTATTGCCTCTCCATATTTTGCAGATCTAAAAACAATATTTAATAGTAATATCCAATTAATTTCAGTAAACAAAGACATTGCAATACCTGGAATTTAACCAAAACACTAGAAAGAAGAATTAAATGATTTGAGAGGAAAATCTGCTATATCTACACAATAACCAGAGTGATCTGGGACATAGTACTAATGTATGCCAGAGAAGAATCAATAAAGAACGCTTACAGAAACTAGTCAGTCTATATCTCACGATAAAAAGGCGGGGTATGTAGCTTCGAGCAATGCAACAGGAAGCCTTTAAACAGCGATAAATGGCACAATTGTTGGCAAGAGACCACATGGGAGGCTGAAAACCAGATGGATAAATAGCATCAACAAAAATGCAGTAGAGTTGCAAAGAGGAAACAAGAAACCAGTAGCCCAAGAAAGGCAGAGGTGGAGATGATGCAAGCTGCCAAAGATTAACAAGATCTGTAAAGCCTATAGAAAAAAAATAATTAAGATATTGGATCAATGAAAACAAACTTTATTTTTCTATCGTTCATATAGAAAATATTGCACTAAATTGATTTTTTAAAAAACAATTTATTATAGGTTGTTTATAAATTTAGTTTAAAAATAATTTCAGCTTTAGATATTAATTAACCTGATTTTGCAGAATGTCACCTTGGGCTAGAACTAAAGTTTCCAGGACTTCTTCTTGCATATGGTGTAATTGTAAAGTTAGACTTTCTTCTTGTTCAATGTATTTTAACCTTTGTTTTTCTAAAGATGGTTTTTCAACAAATAATGCAGAATCGAGTAACTGGAAATATTTTTCAATATTATATTTCATGCATAGCAATACTTATATACATATATATATATAAAATATTGTTTAAACCTGTTCCATTAATCCATTTATTGAAGTATTAAAATCAATAACAGGACAGGGAAGAAGAGTTTTCATGACATTATAATTTCTCAAATCATGAGTAACCATGAAAAGTTTGAAATTTTGGTTAAAATCAACTAATTTCTCTCCAATATAAAGCATTTTTCGAGCACCTAAAATGAACAATAACAATAAATCAGTGACACGATCACGTCTCTTATAAGTATAAACTAATAAATGTTAAGTTTATAAAATTAAATTGCCATATAAATATTAAGATTATCAAATATTAATATTATTAAATATTATAGTGATGTTTATTAGTAATCTACTGGTTAAATTCTCATTAATTTGGTCATATAAAATTTTAAATAAATACTTTTTATTATTAATCTAATCATTTAAAATCCAGTTATAATCAGTAAGGTATAAAACTAACTCAATAACCTCAATGAATGGCCAATGGTCAGAAGTAGACCATAGCGTATAACAAACACAAACAGAGCCTTCATTTCTCTTTCAAAGGTATTTAAATCCCAAAAAATCACAAATTAAGTGTGTGCAATGCTATAATAAAGACAATTATGATATATGGCTGCTAGACCTGGACCTGGACATTAATCAGCACCCTAGAAAGAAGCATTGAAACATTTAAAGGAATAATTCTCCTCATGATAACCGGATGGATCTAGGATCAATGTATTCTAGCGTATGGAGCAGAAAGATCAGTACGAGAAAGAACTGCTTACCGAAACTGGTAAATTAATATCTCATGATTTGAAGATAAGGAGGTTAAGAAGAGGAAGCCACTACACAACCACGAATGCCTCAATAGTAGGTAAGTACCAATACTCTCCCACCTCTAGACTACATTGAAGGAAGCACTAACTGTGGTAGTGTACTCATCCCTTGTTCTCAGAAGACTATAGCGCCTATGATCACTATAAATACAGAAATGCAACTCATCTGTAAACATAACAGCATTCAAATTTGTATCCTCATCTAGGCGCATGCTGCACCATAATCTGTGAAGTTGTCGGTAATACACTGTTTCTATAGGTCTTCTTAAAGGTGCATATGATGTTAGACCAACTTCTCACAAATGATTAAAAATTGTTTGTGTTGATATCCCAACTGCATTGGCGATATTCACTTGCTGATGTCCTTGACCACATATTCACACGATAATATCATGAACTTCTGGATCAATATGATTTCTTTCCATCATTAAAGAGAATATTACTGGATTAAAGTTGAGAAAAATTGAAAACAACATTTGATTTACAAAATGATCTTGTATATTGAATTAGATAACTCTTACAATGTCCTGTTCAACATATGCCAGGAATATATGTGATTAATAATTCTTACTTTTTTTTTTTTTTTTTTTTTAGTTTAAATTGGGAAAACGGTAAATAATGGTTTATTCAAAGTATGTACCATCGCTAGTCACACATTTTTTCCATCTCTCTGGCATTTTGTGGAAGCCATCTAGAAAATCTGTACATTTTTTGAGATGGGCCACTCATCAAACCATTTTTCAACATCTTTGTTATTATTGAAATGTTTCACGGAGTGTGGGAGAGATTGATAAAAACAAATGGTAATAGGAAAGGAGCCAAGTCACATGAATACAGAAGGTGGGGCAAGAGTTCACAATAAAGTGTAGAAATGGTGTCTTTGATCACTTTTTCTGAGTGTGATGGAACTTTGTTCTGAAAAATTAATTTTCTGGGTCTTGTAGACCATTCTTCTCACTTTTCAATCAATGTATGGTTTATATTAATCATTTTTTGACAGTATCGATTGGCTTAAAAAGCTCTTCTGATCCCACCAAATGCACAGCATTATGGTCGATGTTGGTTCGTTTCTAGTCATGATCCAATGCAAAAAAAGTCTTTCTTTTATTTCAAGAAAGCAATACTTTGCACATCATTTTTTGCTTTTATATCTGTCATTCAACTGATGTCATATCCATTGTCCTGCTTTCTGGATCATTCCCATAGTATGCAGACAGAAATGGTTCAATATGAAATCAGAAATGGTTTAGCAACCAACATTTAAACTCTCTACCATTTTTGTTGAATCTGCAAATCATCTTCATTCAATACTAGCAATTCAACATATTGAAATTTGTTTGGTTCACCTCTGAATTCTTTGTCTTTCAAGTCAAAACCAATACTTTTGAATCGTCTACATCAAACCACACAAGCATCTTGCATTAGGACATTGCTACCTTAAGTTTTGATAAGTGTACAATTTTCACTCTCGTTTTTCTTTTGATTGAACATGAAAAGAAAAACGAGAGTTTTTCCACACACAAAACAATATGAGGTTAACCCAAAATCATTTAAACATTAATGGCATTTGAAAGGTACTATCATAGCAACAAAATAATATAAAAGGTTAGTCTTTGAACCAATGTTGTTTCACAACCTTGTTTCCAGCACCACATGTTAGTAAAATAAAGAATTATTAATAATGATAATACTAATTTTATTGCTCAGAAGTACAAAACTTTATAGCAAGGAGTTGATTAAATTAACTAATTAAATTTCTTAAATTAACACTTTAAACTTCTTTTGAAGATACATCCTAATTGATAAAAAACAGAAAATATACATATGTGTGTACAATTACGTTTTCAGCTCTAATACAGTACAATGAATAATACAATTAAACAAACACTGATTGGGTATCAAGTCTAGTCCTGTAGCTTTATTTCTTTTACTATTTTTTATGGTTGTAGATAGCACTTCTAAAGTGAACCCTTGTAATTGAGGGAACCCTTGTAATTCTACATGAAAAAGATGTTCCACTGCAGGAGTGGTGGCTTACCAGGATAATAAAGACACTTCCAGGGCCTGACAGTGTAGTTAGAGTAGTAAAATTGAGGACTGCTATAACCACGTTGGAGCAACCGGTGCACAAATTAGTGCATCTCCCTTCTGAGGAAACCTTTTACGGATATAAATTTATTTATTTTTTTGCTTGAATTTAATAAGGAGTCATTTTATTTTGAATTAATTGTAATTTATTAGCCTATCTTTGATCTGGCTCACTTTGTTTCTAATTTTCTAAAAATCTATTTTGAATGATTTCTCTCTTTTTTTATTGTAAACCTAGCAATTTTCCTCTCATTTGTGCCTTGCCTAGTAATCACCAATCTCTGAGTTTTTTTGTTTGTGAAATGAGATATTTCACGGTGGAGGATATGTTTGCGCAAGGATAGTACCCAAATTCTCTCGTTGCGGTGAGCTGTGTGGGCAGATCAGAAGATCTAAAAGACAAATTCGTACCAGCAGCCGGTATGACTGTGATCCCAAATTAATTTAATTACCATTGATCTAATGAAAAAGTTGCGCCTTCGTTTCCGGGTTAGTCCTCTTGTGGTGTCTGGAGTAGGTTAAACCTCCATATCTTTATCATCAGCTAAGGTTAAAGTGAAGTTGAGTTCGACGAGAAACAGCTACATATATGAGTTTTCAGCCACAGTATTGCCCTACATCAGTGGAAGTTTAAATTTGTTTGCCGTGTCCCAAGAAGTACGGAATAAATTTGCTTCAATTGTACTTGCCGATCCTCAATTTCATACGCCAGGAAAAGTTGATCGGCTTCAGAGTGCTGAGATGTACGGTGAAGTTTTAATTGACCCTGTTTTAATTCTGAAGGGTCAACCGACGGCTATTCATACATCTTTAGGATGGGTATTATTTGGGGACACCCTCTCGGAAAGCCAAAGCCACCCTATACCTTTCGTACGTACTCATTTCACACAGACCAGCTCTTCCTTACAGGAGGAATTAAAGCGATTTTGGGAGACTGAGGAAGTCACAGTTTCGATTCTGACGAATCCTGAAGATGTATTTTGCATAGATCACTTTATAAATACATGCACTCATTATTGCCAGAATAGATTCGTTGTTTAGCTTCCGTTTCGTTCTGACCAGCTGATTAGCTTTGATTCCACCAGAGAGATAGCTCTACTGAGATTTAGAAATCTGGGAAACAGATTTATGAGGGGTCTGGAGTATAAGTCTGCCTAGCTGCACAGATGGACGAATATGTAAGACTGGATCATGTCCGCCTCGTCAAGAACCCTTCTCCATACGTCATGACCCATCATGGAGTCATTAAAGATTCCATGATAAAGCTTAGAGTCGTATTTAAAGGTTCAGAGAAGATGGCAGGAGGGAACTCACTCAATGATTTGTTTTTGACTGGTCCGCAGCTCCAGACTGATATTGCAGAACTTATAGACCATTTTAGATGCTTTCCTGTGGCCTTAACATGCGATATAAAAATGATGTTTAGGTGTATTGCATTGCCGCATTGCAGAAACTAATCAAAACTTATTACGCTATAACAGAAACTCAACTCATTACACAGATCCAGAGCATCATCACTATTGTGAGCACCAGTGGTTACGTTGTTTACATAAATCTGGTAATGACACTGGGCAGCTTAAGGAAAATTATGGCCTTACGAAATAATTGTAGAATGACTCTCTGAGCAATAAAGGGAGAACATTTCAACCCAAATGGTAAGGTAACCAACTCATACTCCTGGATCGGCTGTGACGATTTACTTCTCCAAAATAAAACGTAATAAATTTTGATTAGTTTCGGCAATGCGGATACACCTAAACATCATTTTTATATCACATGTTATAAGACTGATGGAGGGCACTACAGCAACAGACGCTCAGGACTTAAGTGGAGAATCTGGCCATTGTCAGTACTCCATTATATACATATTTACAAAACGTCGCGGGCCACTGCCATTTTAACCTCCGAGGAGGATTGTAGGTATGGTCTACATACATCTAGCTAATCCGAGCTAGATAGGAATTGTGGTACAGGATTTGGATGATGAGTGAGGTTCTGGTGAAATTTGTAAAATTTATCTGGGCTTAGGTCAATAACAAATGGGAAATGAAGATCATTATGTAGGGTTTTATTGGTTACATAGGAGGGAGCATCGACTACTGTTCGGAGGACTTTAGACTGGAAGGATTGAATACGTTTAATGTTAGAAGGTTTTGTAGTCCCCCACAGCTCTAGTCCGTAGGTCCAGATAGGTTTCAGGATTGTCTTGTAGATTAGTAGTTTGTTGTAGACTGAAAGTTGAGATTTGCTATTCATTAGTTTATCTAGCTGTCCATATCGTCTAT